CTGAAAAGTGATGATGCAAAAGATGATGCATGTTCCCTGGAGTGAAGGATGCACAACTCTTCCTGAGCTAAGGACTGCAGGGCGTACACAACACGCTTTGTAAGAATAACTCCACTGCAAATAAGCCTAGAAGGAACTCCTCCATCAGCTGTGGCCCCGCACAGAGCCATGGGGTGATGGTTATGAGCTGGGGGGGCTGACTTCTTCGTTCCTCTACCGGTGTGCTGCGCAACCTTGGTCAAAACATTCCTTTTTTCTGTGTCTGAGATTTCCTTTCTGTGGATAGGACACACAAAGGTGGTGATGGCTCATTTGTCATCAGTCGAGGCATGTGCATGTCAGGTTTCAACAGACTTAATATATGCCAGGCACGTCGAAAGCAGTTCTCCAGATATACCCAAGGGGAAGAGTTCGGGTTCGTGTGCCCGAGGTCGATGGGTTAAAGCACCGGTCCAGGCCCTGGGACACTGCCAGCACTTGCCGTTCTGCAACACAGCAATCTCCCCACAAAATAAAAACACAACCAGCCTTTCTGATATATTGGGTTTCTCTGAATTTCAAATCTGTTTTTCTTTAGAAATGTTGGCTCAGGTTTGCTTAAATTTCTGTTTAAACTCCTGGAAGTGAAAGGTTGAATATTTTTGGGAACTTTCCAAAATATTAAGCTCTGTCGCATAAGTTGCTTCGCTACATACTCCTGATAAAAAGGTATATGCTTTTTGTCGTCTCAAGGCTCGCCGTGAAATCTGAAAACTTCAGGCTGTGTCCCTTTAATATACAAACACACTAAGCAATACAAAGGGCTTAAAATCAAAGCCGTGCTGTTATCTCTTCAGACCAGGAGCTTTTTCAAGGAGGTTCTAACGCAGAAGGAGAATTACTTCCAGTTACCTCTTTGAAGTGTTTTTTTAGTGTGGTATCATGGCTGTTTAATCCGTGCTGTGGCTGCTCTTAAAAACAGTAAGAAATTGCTAAGTGAAGCAGTACGGAAAAGAAGCTGTTTGAACATTTCATCAGTCTCTCTTGATAGAGTCTGCTGGTTCTGTTCCAGTATGGAATAAACCTGGTCGTGGCTCTAACTTTAACTCTGATGCTGCTGCAGTGTCCCAGTTAGGTGTAACACAGTGTGAGGATGTATACAGATATGAAAAACTACTCAAGTGATGACTGCAACAGATTCTTTAACGTTATCCTAAGACTCAGAGCGTGCATTAAGAGGCAGTGGAGTGGCAGCATGTCCCTGGCAAGACGTCTCAGCTTGCTGCTTACTCACTTCTGTAAATTGGTGTATCATGAAGTTACTTTTCTCCCCTTAGGTAAATGCATTCATGGTTGCATTGCAATCATTTTGCTCATGTTTGAGGGTTTGGGGTTTTTTTGCCTGCGCACGTTTGGTTCTCTAGTTTTGTGTTTGGTGGTTTTGTTCCGCAGTGGCATTAAACCCTGGCAGCTAATGCAGGGAAAGAGGTGTTTGCTGAAACACTGGATCCTAATCCCAGCCACAGGGTTTCAGCAACAAGTCACTTGGCTGAATAATTTCCTTGTTTAGCCCCCCTTTCTCCATCTATTCAATGATGAAAATAGCCAGAAATCTACTTGACCTGCCTTGTTAATAAGTGTGATTAACAACCCCTTGTCCTAATGAGCTAGAGAAACAAAAATGCTGTGTACTGTCATGTTTAATTAAATTGTGTTTCAGGAAACTAATTTAAATCGTAACTTACATTTCGCTGGAATTGGTTTCATTTTTCCTTTTTCTAACTTCATTCCCCTTTACTTACTGTTCTTCCTTTAATTTGTATCCCTTTGTCCTTTTTTCCTATGTCTGTCTTTTTCCTCCTTATTTTCCCTTCTTTTTTACTTTGGTGTGATTTGGCCGGTCAGGAACTTAAGTGATGTGAAATGATACAGAAAATACCTCCAAAGGCAGATGCTTCCTTTGCTGCCTCCACGAACATGTGCAGGCAAAGCCCTGGAGCACGGCGGAGATCCGGGGTGGGTAATAGGAGCTGAGGGATGTGCATTAAGGGCAGACACTCCTCAAAGAAAACAAGGGAAGAACTTGGCCCTCAGCTTGAGGGTAAGGTTGAAAAAGGAGGTGGAAAGCCCCAGAGGCTTCTCCTGAACTCTGCATCTCCGCTGGTGGTCCACTGCCTCTGCAGATGCCGCGTGAGAAGGCACCAAAGGTGAACCCGCTGGGAAGAGCCTCATGGCTCTGCTCTGGTGCTGTTGCAGCCCTGGGCCGTGATGCACCTTCGGCCCAAGCTGCCCCACCTCGCTCTGCACGCTTTGCTTTCCAACCCAGCGCCAACTTCTCTCCGTGGGCAGGTGCTGCCCGCTCCACGTGTGGGCTCTGTGCCCGCATCTACCGAGAGCATTAGCTGGTCCCCACGTCCTTATAGGCAGTAGGGCTCAGTAAGCAACGAGAAATTCTTATTTTGTTCTTTAGCTATGTACATTTTCAGAGGGAAGAAAGAATAACATCCAGGCATCGGTGTTTATCCTAACTGGAGGCCTGATTTATGCCTCTCCTTCTCTCAAGGGTACTGCTCTCAGTGTTTATGTAGTGAAATGGCACTAGAAAATGAACATGCTTTAGAAACTATTTATGGATTCGAATTGGCTGCTTTTCTATTTAATGAAGTCCCTGTCTTTGAGTCTGTGCCATTTAATTAAGTGGTTTATATAATTACTATCTATCATCAATTCTGTCCACTTTGGAAGGTTTGTGTTTTCTTACTGAAGAAGGTGTTTTATTTAATGCTGCTTTGTAAGTCCCTCAACTTGGGAGACAAAACAGCATGCAAAAATGCAGAATCCAAGGTAAAAAGACTTTCTGTAGCAGGGTGGACTGAGATCTTGCTAAGACCATTCTTTTTCCCCTCAGTTACCAATGTACCAAAAATTTCTCTTGTTCCTCCTCTTTTTAGGAAGAGGAGCTACGATCCGCTTTCTGTATCAACACTGTGACAACATCTGTGTGCTCTTGGCAGAATATCTAGCCCGGCTCTTTCTTTGCTATAATCCTGTAGATATTTAGGGTTTATGAAAGGTCTGTTGTTCTTTACACGCAGGTAGTCCCTCTTCACGCCCTCAACAGCTGCTTTGTGTCATGTCATTCATAGTGATGAGTCACTAAAGCATCTCTTGCTTCAAGAGCCTTCTCTTCAACCTTACCAGTTTTCCCTGTTAATGTATGTTGTTCATCAGAAGGAAAGTTTCCTTCCCAGAAGCGGTTACTTTGGTGACAGAGTAGAGATTTTTGAGTAACCTTGTTCTCCAAGAGAGTTTGTGGGTGACATCTTCCTTCTGCCTAAACGGACATCCCTATGTGGAAGACTCAGCTCCAGATTTTCAACTCGACCTTAGCTTTGGTAAACTGAGACAGATCCTTTCTTCTCCTGCCATCACTTTTGAGGGTTTTTTAATTGTTTTCCTCTTTTATTGTTTTTTTTTCTTAAACCCTCTTGATTCTCAAATAAGAGCATAAGAGCTAGAGAGTTTTCCATTAACAATTCCATAATAACATTACTACAATCAATCATTGTTATTCCTCTATTTATACATCTCAGGATTCCAGTAGCCTTTTCAAACACTATGTTGTACCATAATCTTATGTTTCAGCTGCTTATCACCCACATGATCACAAAGTCTGATGGGCAAGAAAAATCTTTTTTCCTGGCAGACTGGTGTTACAGTAGCGCACACAGAGAGGAAACAAAAGTTTGCTTTATTCTTGAACGACATTGGATTAGTTTTACATAAACTGTGAATGCAATGCTTTCCTCGCTGGCTCCCAGCTCATTATTTGCAACGTGGGTCAGTACAGTGGCCTTTTCAAATCTGAAGCAAGGAGAGGACCTAAGCAAAAGAACCATAATTGCATTTAAACAGAACTCATTGAATCTCAAAGTCATTATCTTCACAAATTTTAATTTCCATATACACGGCTAAAGGAAAATGTCATCAGGCCCCTGTGGTAAATTGTTTAAAGGACTACGCAGCCACATTTTCCTCATTAACTGTTTGTGTGCAGGGTTTGTTCCAGCTTTGGAAGAGACAGCGGGGGACTCCGGTAAATACGGCCGGAACAAATCACAGTTGTGTCATCTATTCATTAATCCCTCCAGCTCCTCGGAGCGAACGGCACAGCAGAACTGCTTGGATTAACCCCGGGGCTCTGCAGCTTCACATACTTTCTTTCTCACACTGAAGTGGTTTATCTTGATTCTTATCTCCTCATCACAGCGTTGGATGTAACATGGGGCTAATTATTAATGTGATTTCTTAATAGAGAATTTTTATAAGGTCACTCGTAAGAGAAATAGAGACCCAAATGAAAGATTAAGAACTGTTTCCAGCATTAGACTCATCCCATTTACTGTAAGCCTTATCAGGACAGGACTTGGCCGTTGGACTCCAGGGGACAACATCTGGTCAGAGCTCCAGAACAGAAGTAGGTGATGTGCTGCCTGCTGCTGCTGCAGTGTTTTGGCTGTGTTGGGTCTCTAATGTGGTGATGTGCAACTGATTTATGACTCTGGAAGGCAAAATAATAGTACTTTATATGTCGACACTCCACAGTTATTTGAAAACTCCTGTTCGTTTTCTACTTGCTAAGCTTTGGCTGAGCTCATTCAGGAGTGCTGGGCTCAGTATTGGGAAAAGGAGCAATAGGAGCCTTGCCAGGTACCCTAGTTCTTGGGGGAAAATATGCCCAGAACCACAGTGCTTCCTCTCTTCTTTTAAGTCCATTAAAAAAAAAAAAACAACTTATACATTTGCTTTTTAGAATGAACCATACCTGTCTTCCACACACAGTTCTAAAAGCATAATGCAGAAGGGCAGGACCTTGTGCCATGACCTAAACCCCGAGGAGTGACTTACAGATCGGTGCCTGTGCACCTGCCTTTCTGCACGAGAGCCTGTAAATACAGAACAGCTCTGTACGAGCCATCTGTACAAATCGCTTCAGCTACAAGTCATGGACTGCAGCGAGCCTCGGTCTACCAGGAGGCAAACAGATGGTGGGTAGCAAAGGACACAGCAATACCGGTACATTTCTGTGCTGGGCATCGTAGGAGATGCAGATTCCCAGCTGTATGTGAGGCATCCTGTGTGCTGGTCTCGTCAGCCGTGCCCTGGCAGCAGCGCCTCGCTCCATCACAGACATGCCAGTAAGTAGGAGCGCCCCGCGTTCGCAGTCCCCCGCTCTGCATGCCCGAGGTGGCAGTGAGCTGAAGGTATTTAAGGAAACGTTTGCCAAAACTGTGACTTCGTCATGTGGGAAAAGCAATGTCTTGTTCCTTAACTTTGTTCTCTAGAGGCATTAAATTACTTACTTTTTTTTTCCCTTTTTTTTTTTTTTTTTTCAGAATAAGTATCTAAAATAGAATACAGGTTTCTGACCAGATGGTTGAATTTTGGTAAAATTTGAAGCGGGTGAAAATAGAGTCGTTTTGGTTTCCTGCATAACAAACTAATTCTTAGAGCTTTTCAGTCCAGACCGCATCTTTCTAGTTCTTGTGATGATAGCTGCTTGGCAGAAAGTGATGTCTCTAAATCAGGAGAGACCATTTAGACTAAAATATTCCACTATACTCACTCTTTCTTTGCTTGGAGGGAGAGAACAATGGCAAAGAAGGAAGAATGCTGCTTGCTATTTAATTGAGTCTAATAGACTATAAATACATTTTTCCCTCAACTAAAGTAGCAGAAAGGCTTCTGGTAAAACTGACTCTTCATAAACCATCTTGTATCCCACTGCTATTTGTAAAAGCATCTGCACAGAAGCACCTGTAGAAATCCCCTGGAGTAGTTTTAAGGCACTTTAATTGCTGATGAAGGCTTTCATTTCATGATCGGCATTGACGCAAGGTTACAATCACCAAGTTTTAAACATCATTTTCTTGGGAGTTGCACAAAATTGCAATCATTTTGCAAAACTGGATTTTTTTTTTCACCTTCTATGTTGAACTTCATAAGCTCAGTAGAATATGAAATGCGGTATTTTTCTTTATCAAAAAATACTTGAAGCCTAGCTTGCCAAATGAGCAGTTCAATAGTCTTGTAAAGTTAGTTGTTTTTATGACATTTCAACCATTATTTTCAGTGTTATTTCTTTTTCACTTCTGCTTTTTTTATGCCAATATAAAAAAAAATGATCCCCCATTGCTTAGATTTGATTACAGTAATATAAGAAAATGTTTCAGTTCATCCCGGTTGGGTGAAATTTTTCTGGCAGGTCTTCAGCAATTGCAATCCCTGCTGGTATAGGCATTTATATTTAGTAATCACTTGTGACCATAAATTGTAATTTGGGACCTAGATTTTTCTGCACTGTTAACTGGGAATGGACAAGTATTTCCATGCATTTTTAAACCTTTTTTAACATTTCCTAATTTAATATTCAGCTCATCTCTGTTAATAGTTACAAGCAATTAGCATAAAAATTGGGTTAACTCTTGACATTTATTTTTTTTCAGTAATTCATTCAAACATATTTTGCTTTGTTCCATTAGCTAAATCATGCCTTTTGGCAAATAGAGATGTTAGTTTCATATGCCAAATACTAATGTCCTTTACATATGGCTCTGTGGATGTGGTAGTCATAATTATTGCTTGTCTTTTGTGTCTGTGCTTATGCATCTCCCAGGATTTATGAAATACATCACCTTTACAATAAGCTTCAGCTTCCTATTTGTTAAAACTAACAGGAGCGTTATAAAAGACGTGCTTTATCTGTGGCTAATTTTCAGTTTAATTTACCCACTAATCTTAATTCTTCTAAAAAAGGCTTGAATAATAACTGGCTTCCTAGCACAATTAAGATTCAGAGTTTGTGTCTGTGCATATGCAATTTAAGTGCTAATGCGTTTTCCTTTTACTAGAGTAATAACTCCTCTTATTCTCATTACTCTTAATATATTTACTAAACATTTTTTTTGGTGCATATATGCGGTTGTCTAAACAACCAGAATAAATATTCTGATTGTATTAGCCATCCTGTCAAATTCTCTAGAAATAATTTTACAGAGTCACAGAGAGCTGAGGTTGGAGGTGTCTCTGGGGACCATCCAGTCCAACTGCTGCTGGAGATGGAGCAGCTGGAGCAGATTTGCTCAAGAACCGTGTCCACTTGGGCTTCGACTGTCTCCAAGGATGGAGACTCCACAACCTTTCTAGGCAACCTGCCTCAATGTTTGACCACCCTCACCGTAAGAACAGTTTTTCTTGGTTTTAAACAGAATTTCCTCTATTTCATTGTGTACCTATTGCCTCTTGGCCGTTCACTGGGCACCGCTGAGAGGAACCTGGCTCCGTCATTTGTGTCTGTACACAGGGGAAAGATCCCCCCGAGCCTTCTCTTCGTTGGACTGAACAGTCCCAGCTCTCTTAGCCCCTACTTCTATGACAGATGCTTCAGTCCCTTGTCATCTTTCTGGTCTCACTCCAGTATGTCCCTGTCTCTGATGTACTGGAGAGCCCAGCACTGGACCCAGCTCTCCAGACACATCTCACCAGCGCTGAGCGGAGAGGAGGGATCACCCCTTGACCTGCTGGCAAGGCTCTGCCTAATGCAGCCCACTGTGCCATCAGCCCTCATTGCTGCTAGGGCCTATTTCAGAATCACAGAATCATCTAGGTTGGAAAAGACCTTGAAGATCATCTAGTCCAACCATTAACCTAACCTTAACTATTAATAAATTAACTAAAAAATTAATAAATTAACTATTCCTGGCTCATGGTCAGCTTGTTGTCCACCAGGAGCTCCAGGTCCTTATTCAAGCAGCTTCCCAGCTGGTTGGCCCCCAGTATGTACTGGTGCGTGAAGTTGTTCCTTCCCAGGAGCAGGACTTGGCAGTTCCTTTTGTTGAACTTCATGAGGTTCCCGTTGGCCCATTTCTCCAGCATGTCCAGGTCCCTCTAAGTGGCAGCATGACCATCTGGTGCATTAAGTGCTCCTCCTAGTTTTCTATCATCTGCGAAGTTGCCGAGGGTGCGCTCTGTCCCGTCATCCAGGATCATTAATGAGAATATACTTGATTTCCTTGCGAGTAGGATTCCACTTCATGGCTGTATGAATTGAAACATTTGATTGTTTTCATCAATAAGAATAATTCTCATGGCGGTTAGCCGAAACTGGCAGGAGGAACATGTTTTGACTTTATGCACGTGCTATTTTGAATACTTTTAAATTTATAAGGTATATATTAAAGGGATTAATCTTGGCTTGTGTGATAGACTTCAGGATAACTATAAATAGAAATTGTTGAGTGAGTATATTCATAAGGAGAGCCATCCTGGCTCTTGTAGGGATGTGACTTAATAATTTCATTAAAGATTGGAGAAGTAATGAATAATGATGTTTGATTAACTATCCAGAGAAATATTTTAACTCATTTGTTGGGTGGTTGCATGCAAGTAACATGGATTTCAGTAAAATCAACTGTAAGTCTGTATGACTAATACTGCACGGTGTAGGTCATAAAAGAAGATTTAGGGGCTACATGAGCTGTACATAAGATCTCAAGGCAGTGGTGAGCTGATAAGCATAATGCAAATGGTTAATAAAAGTAAGGAGGGGGTTTTGGTATTAGTCAGTCTTCCTCCATGGTGTGTTGCCTTGCTGTGATGATTACCCCTAAAGAACAAAGTTGGAAAATAGGAGTGTTCAAAGAAGAACCATATAAATGCTTGAAAAGATGCGAAAAGATGCATGATAATGTGACATGTAATAATGTGCCATTCAATGAGCTCCATCTATTGAGTTTATCAATGAGAAGATAATGGGGTGATTTGATCCATTTGCATGTATTTACATGAGAAAGAGGAATGTAGGTGAGCAGACATTTTACTTGATTCAGTGGCTGAAAGTCATAGATAATAGCAGATTCAGATTGGAAATAATGTGAACATTTTCTGTGGTGTGTGAATTTATCCTCTAACAGTAAGGATAATTAACTTCCAAGGGCTATGGAAGATTCTCTGTCTCTGAAACAGTCGCATATTTTTCAAAATGACTTATTCAGACAACGAGACAGGGAAGTCCTATGGTCCTGATGCAAGATGCCAGACAAGATATTCATAATGCTCTCTCTTGCCTTGATAAAATTAATCTTTTAATTAGATGTCCAGATTCCAGAGCACTCCTTGTAGCTCTGCCAATTGCAGTGAAATCTCTTGACAAACCAGTCTCTGTGCTTTGTTTCTTTCCTCATCTGTCGAATGAGTGACTGCTTGGCTATATCGCATGGAGCATATTTGTGTTAATTTTAATTAATTAGTTAAAATTAGTTATTTAAGAAATGACTTGTACAAGTATTTCACTAATCACTCCCTCACTGGAAGATGAAAAATAATTGTTTTGTATTTATTCTCACCTCTTCCGATCCATGTCCTAGATTATCGAGTACCGTGCCAACGTTCGCGTGTACGCTCGCTGCGATGTCACACATTTCTATATGACTAATGTTGGGGGGAGTGGGAGGGAGAACAGAACATGTAATTTTTCCATTACAAATTTTGTTGACTTACTTGCTTCCCATTCTAGGACATTTAAATAAGCCTATTTAAGAAGTGAGTGACAAGTGCTGTCTTAAGGAAGAAACTAAAATGCATAATTTAAAGCCATAAATCGTCATCATTTTTTATTTTTATCCTTTGTGTTTGGTGATATGGTTATGTGGATTGCTTGTAGCCATAAATCCACATATAGACTGTGTCAGAGAAGATCAAGCTCTCTGTGCTCAAAGCATGAAGTCAGAGCAAAGCTCCACAACAGATGGCCTTTTCTTTCCATTTCATGGACACCAGTTCTCACTGGGCAATTCATTATTTTCTACAGTTGAAGCAGCTGTGGATTACTGTAATTATGGATTTAATATATCTCTGACAATGCAGCGTGAATACTAATTTGAACTTTATACATCTCCTTGGAATCAGGTTAATTTTCTCATTATTATATAGCTTCTGATTAACTAAAGATGTTTGTCAGGCTAATATTTTTCCTGCTATGGAAATAAATTGTGCATGGATTGCAAAATAATAGTGGTGGTTTTGGTGTTCAGTCTTGTTGAAAGTCCTGGGAGAGAGTTTTTGAGTTCTCCAAATGTTTTCAGATATGCTTCTGCTAGTAACCTTATTTTAAATGGGGAGTTTTGTTTTCCTAGGATACATATTGATCAGTAGTAAATTATTTAGTTTAATATTTATTCTGGAGAAAAAAAGACACTTTTTAATA